CCAAAAGCATTGAATATTTACAATCTGTTTGTATTAAATATTTTAAAGTACATCAGACTTTGTGATTAATATTTCATTTGAAATGTAGTTGATGTATATCATAACAAACTGCCTGCAAACTTACTACTCTAAATCCGAACATTTTCTGCTTCATATTAATTCATCTGTGGACTGCATTTTTTGGTACCTCTGGATTAATTATGTTTTATTCACCCACACTTAGGAGATTAGGCTACTTAGCACACTAGGTTAACCCTATACTGTAGCATGCTTAAAGAGATAGTTCAACCAAAAATAAAATATTATTACTCATGTCAATCCAAACCTGTATGAATTTATTTCTTCTGTGGAACACAAAATACATTTATTTTGAAGAATGTTACAGTTACCACTGAATTCCATTGTATAGACATTTCTTGAAATATCATCTATTGTGTTCCTTAGAAGAAATTAAGTCATACAGGTTTGGAACGACATGAGGGTGAGCAAAGGATCACAGAAGTTTCATTTTTGGGTGAACTAACTCTTAAAAAAAATTACTTTAAAACTTTTTTTAAGTTAGGGAAGCGTTTAATAAGTGATGAAGTGATTTCCTGGGAGTCACAGGAACACATAATGACTTCCTGCACAATTATGTTTTGTAAGGTTTGGGATTAAATTTACATAGAATTTCAAAGCAATATTGATCTCTACAGATATTTGTTACTCCCAAATAAGCAATAAAATAGTTTCCATCACTTGGTGCAGAACCCAGAGGAAAGTCTCTCCATACTCCCCACACTTCTCACTTCCATTTCCCACTTCTTCCCATTTCTGCTTCCCGTTACAATTGAACAGAGGTGTTGCCCCTGTCTAGAGCCCATCATGCAGAGGGCCAGATTTTGTGAGGTTGGGATTTAATTGGTATATTAGTATCCAGCCACGTCCAAATTTATCAAATTTACACTGGCCATTAATTTTGTAGAAGAACATACAATTAAGAGCTCATTAGTGCTCTCACAGGGATATGCCCTTTCATCTGCTGGAGGAACATTAAGAGTTGGCCAAACTCCAGAGCAAAGACCTCTCTTCCTCCTGCACTGCTGCTTCCTTAACATGCCTCCTCTGGCATACTCAGTCCAGCCATATTGAATTCTGCTGTATAAAGAATATTTATTCCAAATATTATTAAGACATACATTCTTAAGACATGCTATAGGGTTTTACAGTTTTATCATGCTCCTTCAGTTTAAAGTAGCCTATATTTCTTGACAATGTAGTGGACATCTATGTATTTAATTCATTCTTTTTTTATGACTATGCAATGCTGTATAAGGTCTGTGCTTCAGCCTAATTTCAGCTTGTCTGCAGCTGGAAATAATATGTCATACAAAACTGCACGCATAAAATTCTGCACTCAATATCTAATAAATCAGCAAAACATATCCTAAATAAGCTAGCGCAAGTTTTAATAATATACTACTAATAAATGATAAATACAGTGAATTATATTTGTGAGTGTCCTATGTGAATGACTGTCTCATTCTGTTCTGCTGCTCTGGGTAAGTGCAGTTTGAAATTCAGTGAAAATGTCATTGCTAGTGGTGCGACCTGCTGCCCTTTGCTATGCTGCATCACTCAATTGCATAATTTTGGTTAAAGGGGATTTCCATTCCTCTCGGTTAATACTCACTGTCAATCTTCCTTATTGTGTTCAAACAACAAATGGCTTATTCTTTCACTTAGCATTTCAATCAAATGCATTCTACTGGTTACCAGGCATAACTAAACTGCAAAAAATGTGTTTCACTTTTCACTAATTCTGTCATTTCTACTTGATTTGACGAGATGCCACAGTTTCAACTATATTCTTTATCAATAATTACATTCAGAGTGGTTCAAAAAGTTGTAACGGACATATCACTGCAGGTTGCCTTTTTGGCAGCACTTTTTCATCAGTGTATGAAAGAGAAAAACAAAGGCAAGAAGAGATTTCCCTCACACTACCATGCACAGCTTGAAGGCACCAAACATTTTTTCTCTCCCCACCCCCACTTTACTGCCTGTGTCATTTTCTCACTCGCTTTTCTCTTTCTTACTTTTTTCTGAGTTATAATATGTAATTGATTCAATAATGGCTTATAGTTAATGCTGATATCAAAGATCTGTGTGTGCCAAAGGACTCCTATGACGAACCTAATGGCTTATGAAGGAGGCAACATAAATAAGAAACATTAGAGAAAGACAGAGAAAACAAAAGAAAAGAGTGGAAACATACAGAGATATTGACTGACCAGGTGTAGTGTGTGATGTTGAGGGCCAGCTGGGGCCGACGTGGCAGTGAGCCATCCCACCTCTGACTGTCATCTACTCTGACATTCTGGCTAAGCTGGATCTCATTAGGATGAGGGTGACTTTGAACCTGTCAGCAGCGATGCGTCTCCCACTATATAGGTTGCCTTCAAAGTAAACTGCTGTATCATTGTAACATTCGTAGCTTGTTATCTATATTTGTAGTCCTTTTTACTCTTACCTGACTGACATCCCCCCAGAACCTGAATATTAACCTTTCAGTTACAATTGGAAAAAGAAGGTTTTAGATCAGCGCCTCTCCCACCGCCTTCCGCTTCTGTCACTCAGTCATGGTTTGCTCAGTGTGGTAGTTATTTTTTTCAAACTTGGTGACAGCATTGAACCATTGAGAAAGAGAGAGAGCAGAAGATAGCAAGAACATCAGAAATTTGCTGTGCCCAAAGGCAAATTATTATGAGTGTCAAAATAAAAATGAATTTCTCTTGATCATAGATACCCCTTGTCAACTTGTTTACATGATTGTGTATAGGCCACAGTTAAAAGTTTGGGATCAATATTTTTTTTAATGAATACCTTATTTAGCGTGGATGCATTAACTTGATCAAAAGTGACAGTAAAGACAATTATAAAGTTACAAACAGAAGATTTCTATTTCAAATAAATGTTGTTTTTGAACTTATCAATGTATTGTGGTTTCTACAAAAACATTGATAGTGAAATGTTTCTGAAACACCAAATCAGCATATTAGAATGATTTCTGAAAAACCATGTGACACTGAAGACTGGAGTAATGATGCTGAAAATTCAGCTTTGCATCACAGGAATACATTTTTAAACATACTGAAATAGAAAACAGTTATTTGAAATTTGAATCATATTTCACAATATTACTGCTTTTACTGTATTTTTGATCAAATAAATGCAGCTATTTAAAAATCTAACTGACCTCCAACATTTGAAAGGCAAGAAAAAATACTTCTACAGCATTTATTAATCTTGGTTAATATTAACATTTACATTTCAAGTTGTATGAATTAAAATTTGTAAATTATGTATTATGAACAATTGAAAATTAACAATAATATACTACGTAAAACTATCTTATGTAAAAATAGTACATTTTTAAATGAACATTAAGCTAGATTTAAAAAAATGCTGTTAAAAATAACTTTTTAGTTCATAATTGAACCTTAAATAAATCCTTTTAAGGAAAAAGTATTTGAATAGGATACCTGCTTGACCACATTCCATGTAACCTCTTATCCGAAAAGAACACACACATTAACAATTAAATAGCAGTACGCAATGTAAATCATAAACTTAAATAATTCACTGTAGCCTAGTAGCCAGTCAGAAGGGACTGCTTCATAATAGATGGTGCTACAGTGGTGGGCTCAGCTTGAATCCACACTCTTAAGTAAACAGACTTTTTTTTTTCAAAGGTCTGCTTAAATGAAATATACAAGGTAGACTCACTATAACTCTTTAGCCAAAAAATACATGACAAAGCTACAAACCTAGAGACAACTGACATATTTACACTTCTCTCGTTAGCCAACTTAGCATTACATATTTCCTGATATCATTAGAGTGGTAAAAAAGACACTCTATTTTGAATGAGTGCTTGGCTGACTGTTTCAGAGGACATCTGGGATGGGGTGAAAATCATTAGCTATACAGCTAGAGCTCGGCTAGCTGTAATTGCCTTGTCTCAGAATAGCATCAAATGAACACATTCTGAAAAGGGGGTTCAATGTATCACTCAGTTAACTCTGCAAACATCTGACTCTTATAAAAGTTTTGACTGTCAGATGGGATATGCTTTATAGCACTGTTTAGGGCTTCCTGCACTTTGCAAGCTTATTAAAGAAATTATGCAACCGTATAATTTAAAGTCTGGTAAGCAAACATTTATGACTTCAGTAACTGGCGAGGATTTCCTAAGGCCCACTGCAGTTGATTCAGTGTTCACATGGCAGTGGCTAAAGTGGACAAGGTCGCAAAAAAAGTTGCGTCCTCATGTTAATTCTATACTGAAGCACTGGGTTAAAAATAATCAGTTTCTTGTCTCAAATGATTAATTAAGCAACTTGCTGTCTTCTTTCGATCTCTCCCATTGTTTGTTTAAAAGCCTTTCATAAAAACTGCTTGTTTATCATTGTTTCGGAGAGAAAGGTACTTGACCTACCATTAATTATGTATGACGCTGGTGCATAATGACTGGACTCAATAACAAGATGTATTTCATTGCACAAGATCTTCTGATAACAACACAGGTTGTTTATGTTCACAGACCCAGACAAAGTTCTGATAAGAAGGAAACTTTGCTTCCCTCCTATAGTGGAGCTTAGTAGAGTGAGAATGCCATACAGTGTTGGGTTGAGATCATATGCTGGTCAACTTCAATTTTAAATGTAGATTTAATGTACCACAAAAGCGGTAAGTCCTTCCCATTAGGGTGGAGAGGATGTTTCGAAGGCAAGCCATTTGTCTGTCAGTTAATCATGTTGACTGGGAGCTTCCAGACAAATACAACTGATTTAGCCTAATTTTAGCGAATTGTCTCCATAGCATTTGTAACATTTGTTTAATTCTTACATGGTTTCATAGTTTTTTTCGCCTTCTCTTTTGGGGATAGGATTAATCTAATGTTTGAGTATAAAACAACACTACAACACATTAATAAAAACTCCCTGCGTGTGTCTTACCTTTCCAAGTTTTCTGTAAGGCAGACAGAGCCTGGATAGCCATCCCCTCTGGCAGAGAGAGGCCCCTGTGACAGGCCTGGGCGAGTTTTCCACGTCTCCATTAATCCAGTAACTGGAGAAATTAGATTCAACAAGGGGTTCGTCTGGTCCCTCAGATTGTGGCGTGAAAACAACATTGTTCCTTGCGCTCCGATCTGGTAATGAAATGAATGTCCACCTGAATTAACGCCAACAATAGCCGGCGTGGGCACATTATTATTCTCTTGGTAATAGCCGCCATCATTGGTTTCCTGTTTAATCCCCTTAGGCAGGCCTTTGTTAGGAAACACACCAGGTTCATAGTTGCCATTCAGAGACGAAACAGGAGGTCCCAAGATCCCAGAAAGACTATATTCGTCAATATTATCCCTCAAAGACAAGTATGTGGTCTCTGTAGAAGGAAAGCAGCCTAGAGAGTGCTGCGGCTCTACAAACTGGAGGTTCGAACATGTCGCCTCTCTGTTCGGCTCTGTTTTAATGTGAGTTACGAAAGGAGAATGTGGCATGGCGCTCTTGCTGCTGCCTAGGCACATACTCCTGTAATCAGTGCCAGGTTCGTTTTTGATATATTTGGCCACGCCCATAGCATCCAAGCCGATGTTAAATATTTCCCCATCCACATTTTCTACCTTCGGGAACTCGAATGCCTTGAAGTCGTGCTCTCGGCTCTCAGGGCTGTTGATATCATTTTGAACTAGGCCCAATCCACTGGGAGGGCTAGAGACCGAGAAGCCCCTGGATGAGTTCCTGGGACTGGACATGGTCATGCTGCCAACGGTGGGTGGACTGGAGAGGGATGGTCTAATGTTACAGGTATTGCCTCCATTTGTTGTTGGGCTTGAGACGGATGATCTCATGTTGGTGTTACAGGAAAGCGGTGAGCTCACACTACCTATGCTATGAGGGCTGGAAACTGGAGACTTCATAACACTGAGCGGACTGGCCAGTGGAGGTGACCCCACCATGCTGGACTTTACAGGGCTACAGGTGTTGGGACTGGTGTGTTGACCTTGGGTCAAGTTTTTGCAGGCAGAAGCCAGCGTCGGACAATCAGAGTCAAAGAAGATGGGGCTGGTAGTGGATGACACCATGTTGTGTCCGGTAGGACTAGACATGGGTCCAGACCCATCAGTGCTGCACGAAAGAGCAGTGGCCAGTGCAGAGGGCACTGAGGCAGAGACCACACCGCACTCCTGAGGGCCACCATTGGGTAGCTGGGCCCCAGGTGGGAATGAAGCTGGGGGAGCTTTCATCTTTGGACTCCCAGTCATTTTGGACTGGCTGTCTTCAATTGCTCTCCCACAAAGAGGATACAGTTTCTCCGGGTTACCCTGCCCTCCTGCAGTACCCTGTTGGGCAAAGCTAAAGTCTGCCTCCCTGGCAGCATTCATGTACAAGCCCATAGACTCAGCAACTGTTTTGGAGAGCTCCTTTGAGTCTGTTTCTGACTTGCGGTTGTGGAAGGAGTTGTTAAAGGAGGGAAAAGGTAACGGTTGATTCTGGTTAACTCTAAGCATTGTTGTCTCTGTAGTTTTAAAGTTGTTGTCCTTGCAGGCAGACGGCACGTTAGGGGCATTGCTCGAGTTAACAATATCCATGAGCACGTCGCTGTTTGTCAAATTCTCTTCGGCAGAACAGCAGTACTCCATGGTGTTCGGCATCTGTGCCCATTTGCTTTCTGCATTTGCCCCTTCGCAGTAACTTTGGTATCTTTTAGTCTCCATACCTGGATCATTTGATAAACCTAATGGACCAATAAATTAGAGACATTTAGACTTTACAGACAAAATAGCAATATTTTGATTAGTACAAAGCAATTTCATTACTCTGACTGTCAAACCAAAGTGCACACATAATTATTATTCATTACTGGTTTAATGTGTCTATTTTTTGGAAAATGCATTACAGATATACTGTTTTCAGTTTTGTTATTACAAAGAAATGTATCATTTATTTATAAGTTTCATTGGGCTTTAAAACATCTTACCACAAATTTTTATATATTATTTTTTGCATTTAATACAGATATTATTTTGTTTGTTTTTTTATAACCAATTTCTATCCTCAGATGTAAATGGGATGCTAATTAAATGGTATTGCAAATGCCCTCTTCTTTAAAAATGTGGGAGCCACCCCTCTCTGTCAGACCACTGTGCATCCCCATCTTCTCCTGCTGAGATGTTTGGATTTGACCAATTACATCTTTACATGTTTTTACCAGCATGATATGTGAATCCACTATAAATTAGCAAATTTGTAAATTAACTGTGAAAGTCTTTGCTTTGAGAAGTGCTGGATCCTGGCACTGCCTCTGCAGACATCAAGAGCAGTGCTCCACATTCAAGGTAGTTTTCATGGAATTCACTCGCCCTCTCATTGAATATGAATTGTGACCTAGCAGGCAACTTTTTTTTCCAAGCAAATCCCTGTGCTTTACTTTGCCACACACTCTAACTTCAGCTGCTATATGTATGCACCATAAAACGTCCTTTACCTGCTAAAAGACAAAAATGTAGGAGGGATGGTAATAGGTCAAGTTCATAAAAATGTGCCTCTGCCCCTCATATACTGTACATCCACGGACATACAGTTCTATTATGTTCACAGTGTTAATGGCACTACTGTCAGGCAGTCTCATTACTGGTGATAATCTTCATCATGTATTTATTATAGTGTATAATAGAATGTGTCATTTCTTTGTTCTTTAATCCTTTGTTTATGGATTATTATTATTAGCAGTAGTATTTTATATTTCTAGTAAAGTAGAAGGGTATACAATTATTTATCTACTGTACATTATCTTTGAACATATGTTTATCTAACAAAAGTGAATCCTTCTGTCCCTCAGATGGCAACGATACAATGTAAGGACTCATTTCAGCAGTTACATTTAGTTATGTTAAATTGACAAATGTGTACACCTCCTGAAATTCCAAATGCCCCATAAGTAATTCATCTTGGTGCTGGCAGCCTAAACAGGCTTCCAAAAAAAAAAAACTGTGGACTGAGACTTACAAAGCAGAGACAGCGTCAATGCAAAAATAACTAGTTTAAATCTGTAAACGGTGCAGGATTTAATGCATTGTGCATTTGTTTATTTTCACGTATGTAATGTGTTTTTTTTTTTAATGGCTTGGGGGAAAAAAAAAGTTAATTTCCCACACTGTTGACAGCACCAAGAGCATTAGGGGAGGGACTGAAGACGCAATAGAACCGCTGTGAGTTTAAACTGTCAGTCATGTACAGTACATATACAGACTTCTTTCACCATCTATACTAAGACGAGAACTGAGTAGTTCTTCTGTAGCAACATATAGCTCATTAGGCATCGCACTTTTCAAAGCAAAGTCATATGGTGATGACAGTGCTGCTTTAAACGTTTCACGTAGTTCGTTGTTTTTGTTTGGTCTCTTCTTTTTTCTCCCTATCGTCTTCTTCCCACGATACCGTACTTTAGCGTGCAACCGTTGGACAGAAGCAGACACACTGTCGTCAAGTTTATCACGCCACTCACAGATTGGTCCCGTCGCTCTGTCAGTCTTTTATTTATAAGCTTTGTAGCCACAATATTTCTACGACAATCATTCCAAACATCTTAATTACGAACTTAGTCAACTTTACGTGTAGGTTCGGATGCGTGAAATTTCATGCTGCATTGCACAGCGACCTCCAGAATGATGAATGTGACGCAGTTGTTTCTTCTGCAAAAGAGCCCCTGTTTAAATATCGTTGTTCATCACATGACGTCACGTGAAGCAAGTATGCTTAAATATGTGGAATAAATATGCGGAGGTTTTCATGCATTTTTCACAATAATAAATCTTATTCGCCAGTGTTTGTACTGTATATGAACATCACTCGTAATTATTGAGTCCCATATGGCTGAATAAACTTCAGTTGCACTCAACTCTAGATGCACCGACTTCTAGCACACGTACAGTAAATAAGACAGGATGATGTTAACGTTACGCGAAATAATAAAGCTTATATCCCGTGAAGAACTTATCACGAGATCGCGCTAAGCTTTGCTATAACTATTTAAAACATGATGTAGGCTAAATTTGATGGAAGGCGTTAGCAATAGCTGTGTTAAACAGTATTCACTTACATAAATCCTGACTGCTGCCAGGATTTAGTTTAGCCGAGAAAACGTCAAAACATGTTACAATGTTATGCAAAGGATGTTACTAAAGGATACATTATTGATTGAATTATTATATGCGGTTGTGATTTATATTGTTGATGTTGTTTTCTGTTTTTTTCTTTTCATTGCTTTAAAGTGCATGCACTTCATGCACAGCACAGGGGTCCTGTCAAGTGAAACATCGCTTGTCACAAATTTGCAAGTTTTAGACGAGTTTTCAACGCTCTGCATTTGCAATACCTCATACACAGAGGACGGCTCTGTTCTCCAGCGATATAATGATGATAATAATATTAAGACATCTTACCGTAATTACGACATCCAATTGTGACAGTTATCTCTACTGCTGGTCACTAGTAATCCAATGCACAAAACTGAGAGAATGACACCAAACAGTGGCGTTAAGTTGTGTTTAGAAGTATTCCCAGTGTTGCGACTGCTTGCATGTACTAGTTTCAGTTGTGACAGCTGAACGCACCGCACACTGCCGCGCGCATGACGCGAGATCCTTAACGACAGCGCATTACGCGTACAGCGGTCATCGGCGACTTCACCGAGACGTCCTGTCGTTTGTTTTCTGTTTACGTGCACGTTGCTACTAGATTGTTGAAGGCGCCCAACTGAAGACTAATACAAACAGCAGAGGAATCAGACAGACTTGCGTAGCGACGTCACTGTGTGCACATGGACCCTCCTACTGCAATGAGAGCTCGAGTGGGAGGGGGCGATGGGTGCGCTCAGGTATATACGGCTCTCCATCCAGAAGTAGGGCAAGGTAGTTTGATTACGCAGGCGCTAACCTGTGCATCTAGGACAAATAGATGTTCATACATTTAAGTGCGTGACCTTACTTGTTAAATGTTACTCGGTGGTATATAAAACTAGATCGGTTAATCATGATTTAGTTTAATTAAACCATGCACTGTGCAATCATAAACCTATAAAAAAAATCATGCTGCAGAATAATAAAAAAGTGTAGGCTGGAAATGCAACTATAAATGTTGTCATCTGCACAAACGGAGCACTGAGTAATGAGTCAGGACTGGACTGATTAAGCATTAAATGACAAACTGATTGAAGTATAAGCAAAAAACAAAAACAAAAAAACAATGTTTTGGTCCCCAGCCCCAGTCATTTCATCCTTAAGTGGTCTCTTAAAGTTGTGTGATTACCTGAATTCTAAAGTAAGATAAACAAAAAGATAGGTGTATTATTTTAGTATCTTTTCAGGCAAGTTGGATCTTATGATCTTGAATGTAGTTAAAAGCTATTGGATAAAGCAGTTGTGAATGTCCTTTGGAAGTGGTTTGTGTGAATTATTGGCTTGAGGTGATCATGACCATCGGAACTGCTTCATGTGCTGTCACTAACTTTTAAAATAGGTCTGTGAATATATCTTTGCTAATTAAGCATGACATATAAAATAATTTTTATAGGTCATGCCCATGTCATTGCTATCAAACATTGCTTTGATATAAAGGCTCCTTTTGAAAAAAAGAAAAAGAAAAAAAAAACTGGTACAGTACCACAAGGTGGTGCAAGTTTTGTGATTTTGTTGGAGTTTGTTGATATGGAAATGGCCTTTAATAACCCTGTGCTTATGTAATGTTGATGTATATACAGTAATGTACAGTTAAATAGGGGAAGATGGGGGAAGAAGTATATAACAATGTCCATATACTGATAAACTGTAACACATTTACATATAAATTTAACATGTTGAGGATCATTATGCATCACCCAACAGCTATTATGCATGTGAATCAAATGGAAACAATAAGCATAGGGATAAATGACTCCCTACCTGGTCAATAAACCCCAGGGGCATTTGACCTTTACAGAACATTTTATCTAAAGGCCAAATTAATTCTAATAATTTTATTTTCGGGAAAAAATGGCATTAACTAAACTGGTAAAACTGTGCATCTTGACAATGTAATTTGAATCAATTTACTGAAATGCAATGTTTCATAATGACAAAGTACAGAAGCATAGTTACTGAGAGAGGTATCTGAAAGGCAATTATATTCAGCACTTTTTAAACCTGAAAACATGTCACAATAAAGCAACAGTTACAAAGCCGTTAGACTGAATTATTCAGTTTTAGGTTGTGATGACTTAACGAAGATTACAGTAGTGTTCTTAGACTGTGGAATTATCAAATATAATAACAACTAAAATAACAATGAATTCCAAAACACACATGGCTATCTAAATCTACTTGGCCATCTAAATGTGGACATTCCATGGATCTCTTCTGTTTTTATACTGAGCTAATTACTATAACCTATAACCCTAATTTTAATTAAATTTTAATATATTGTTTTTACAAATGAAAATGCCCCCAAAATGAGTTTTTTCACACACACACACACACACACACACACACACACACTTATTTTATCCGCTCCTCATAATACTTTTGAGTATTTTGTCCTGAAGTGAAGGTGAGCTAAAGCTAATGCCTCGAATTCACTTTCATGCACTCTTTAACACTTTATCTTTTACATTTTCAAGCGACCTATTATTTTGGGGCAAGATATCCCCAGATACGCTGAAGTGAGTTTTGTCACCATCTGTGTTCAAGAGGTATTAAGTATTCAAGAGTATTAAGTATTAATACATAAGTATTAAACACAATGGAGTTTTCTATAGAATCAGCAGCTCATTGATTGACAACTATAATTTATATTGTCCATCTGTTATCAAGTTAAATTGTCGGGTCTGTCCAGTCAGATCCTGACTTTGGCACAAAGGCTTATAAAACTATTTTGTTTGTATATTTTAATATGCAGATCTGCAGAGTAACAAAAGCATCAGTCATTTATCAGCTAAATATTAACTGACAAATTATTTACTATTACATTAGTGCATTTCTATTATTGAGATTTCAGCAAATGAAAGAAATAAGTCATGCTCAAAATAAGAGGTCTGCCGCAGTGTTCCTAAATAAACAGTATAATAGCTAGTACATTTATAATATTGATTCAAATACATATTAATAATAATTATATTTTTATAACACATCACATGGTTTGTTTATTAGCTTTTTGCACTACAAGAGTGAAAGATTAAGCAAAAACGACCCATAATATGACTATTTTTTCTCAATATACAAACTTTTAAACATGAGGTCTTCAGTAGGTAACTCATCTAGACATCAGCTGAAGACATCCGGCATGGAATGTTAATAAATAAATCTGGCTGCATTAAAATCAGATAAGCAGATTATAAGCAGCCCTGTTACTCTTTTACTAAAGAAGCCTGAACCTTTAATCAAATATTCATCATTAATAATTTTTGGTTAAGGTGTTTTATTTAGCAGAAGAGGTTTCCCCTTGGTGCTTGCATCTTTTGAACATGTGAACCTAAGATGAAAGAGCAACTGTTCTGCTATTTTTGATCTCCTTTTCTCCTGAAGTTGACTGGGGTGCTGATATATTGATCTTTAAGTTGTCATATATTGAAGGAAACTGAAAGACAGCTCTGAAAACGAAGACTAAACAGAATTCCAAAGAGATAAATTAAAGCAAATGCATACATTTGAGAAATGGCTGCAACACAGTATCCAAGCTTTTGGATGCCCAGGGCCCTGCTGGTTCACTTAACAGAAGATGGAAGCTACATGCCTGAAAAACTTTTCCCAAAAAACTTTCATAGTGAAGACATTACTAAATACTCCATACCTGCAGAAGTATGATGGTAATGGTATCACATAATGCTTCCCATTAGTCTTGGCAGTTTGAGAAAATAGAGAAAAAAAATTGATGGTACATAATAGCAGGAAATTTAGCAAGAAAACATGTATCACGGAAGCGATGAGCGATATAAATTCTGATTGATCCATGTACCATAAAAAATTAAGGTGACTAGGCAACTAACCTGAACTAGAGCATGGAAGAGTAGGACAGAATGATGTAACGCTGGAGCACCTTTACCTCGTAGACGTAAAGCTATTATTGCTGCAAAAAGTGGTCACTAAAAGAGATTTTTGTTGATTTAAAGGAACACTCCACTATTTTTGAAAATAGGCTCATTTTCCAACTCCCCAGAGTTAAACAGTTGAGTTTTACCGTTTTCGAATCCATTCAGCCGATCTCCGGGTCTGGCGGTAGCACTTTTAGCTGCAGCTTAGCATAGATCATTGAATCTGATTAGACCATTAGCATCTCGCTCAAAAATGACCAAATAGTTTCTATATTTTTGCGCAATGATATTACGCAGTGCCTGAAAATAGTCCCCAGCACGTTCCTAGTGCAAGCAGGTGGTCACGTTGGTTATGTTGACAGAAGTTAGCCTATTTTCAGGCGCTGCGTAATATCATTGCGCCTGCTGCACCCATGGTACGGCAGCAAAGTTCCTTGATTATTACACCGGAATGGGAGTATAGTTCCTAGCCATATCAGCCTAGAAAATCGCAACTTTTCATTTTCCGTCGGTCTTAGTACACGAAGTAACTACAGAAGAGTCAAGTTTTAAATAGGAAAAATATCTAAACTCTTTGGTCATTTTTGAGCGAGATGCTAACGGTCTAATCAGATTCAATGATCTATGCTAAGCTACAGCTAAAAGTGCTACCGCCAGACCCGGAGATCGGCTGAATGGATTCGAAAACGGTAAAACTCAACTGTTTAACTCTAGGGGAGTTGGAAAATGAGCCTATTTTCAAAAATAGTGGAGTGTTCCTTTAAGGTCAGTAGGCCTACTTATCTTTTTAGATAACTTTTTTTTTCTATCAGTGTATTGCTTTGCAGTGTGAAGTTAATTTTTAATTATCACTGTTCTGGTGTTAAATACACCATGCATCAAGGTGATGCTTGCATTTCGGCACATTTAAGTTGGGCATATTTTGTAAACTGCTGTGAGTTGCAAGTGCTTTGTCTTTTTAATTTAATGGCATTCAGTGCTTGTATATCATTTTTTATGTGTACTGCTGACAAAAAGAAAAATCACATTTGACATTTGACAAAAGTCTTACGTTTAAAGGGTAAAAAAAATGCCTAGAATAATCTGCATTATTTGAACCTCCTATGGATTATTTGACATTTTCTGAAGGTTAAAGCAACTATGATCATTTGCTGAAAAGTAGTTTCATATGTTCTTTTTTTAACTGCTTAAGTTGAGGCATTTTCAAAAAGTCATCTGACTAATATCAAATTGGGTATGATGATGAATTTCAAGAATTTGCGATTTCTATATTTTTACTTTAAAAATTACCAGTCAAACACAGCCAGGCATTATTTTTGTGCATTTTTGTTTAAAAACAACAAAATAAAGGAATGAAAACAAGACAGAGCTACAGAATCTAGCATGCTAATATCAACTACAGTCTTCTCTCTCTGTTTTTGTCTCTCTTCTCCCACATATCTGACCTCCACTTGCTTACCACACCATCTTTAAACAGTAACATTTACTCTCATTATTTAGAGGCTCAAGGCAAGACCGATGGCAGACTTTCAGTATCACTTTAACACAATCATGCACACAAAGCATAAATGTAATTGTCTCTTTGCCATCAAAGGTCACAGGGAAGAAGAAAAAGGAAGTGCCCAAGCCTATAAACAAGTGAAAAGGAATATGTTCGTGAACACGCAGTTTACGTGCCTAAATGAAGAACCCCAAGTACACCATGCAGCCACTTGTATTGAATAATGTGTTTATCCCATTATGGCTCTGATGCATATTC